TTTGTGTGTCGTTGTGCGTCTTTGTGTGGCGTGTCTTTGTGTGTCTTTGTGTGTCTCAGTGTGTTTCAGTGTGTCTCAGTGTGTCTCAGTCTGTCTCAGTGTGTCTTTGTGTGTGTGTGTGTGTCTGTGTGTGTGTGTGTGTGTGTGTGTGTGTGTGTGTGTGTGTGTGTGTGTGTGTTTTAGATTTTCCCCACAACAGCCCCAATTCCACCCAGGTGAATAGATTCAGAATCAAAGCAGTCTTGTCTGTGTGTGTCTGTGTCTGGGCGTGTCTTTGTGTGTGTGCCTTTGTGCGTGTCTTTCTGTGTCTTTGTGTCTTCGTGTGTCTTCGTGTGTCTTCGTGTGTCTTCATGTGTCTTCGTGTGTCTTTGTGTGTCTCATGTGTCTTTGTGTGTCTACGTCTGTCTGAGTGTGTCTTTGTGTGTACCTTTGTGTGTGTCTTTGTGTGTGTCTTTGTGTGACTTTTTGCGTTTGTGTGTGTCTTCGTGTGTCCTCGTGTGTCTTCATGTGTCTTTGTGTCCATGTTTGAATGTGTTTGAATGTGTTTCTGACAGTACATGTGTTGGTGGGTGTTCTGTCGGACAGTAAGGAGAATCAACTCACTCCACCATGCAATTGCATCAATTAACGAAAATTACTGCAGTGTGTAAATGAAGACATAACTGCAAAAACACAAACGGAAAAATAATATACTAGCATCAGATTTGCGTACCTGAGTGCCAACAGACAAGAAAGCCCCAGATTAAACTTACTGGCCCTAGGCAACTCAGAATTGTAGTATTGTTAGTAATAAAAATACTAATAAATCAATAATTTTACTCGTCTTCTTTTCCTCCTCCCTTTTTTTGCGGGAAACTCAGCTCTATTCTTTCCTTATACTCATCTACGTTCAGTGGAGTTTGAACTCCGGTCACTAATAAATCAATAAATTATTAAATTCTTTTAAAAATACTAATAATAGTTTGAACTCCGGTCTGTATTTGAACAACTTAGGGATTGTACCAACTGAGCTAGGCCTTCTCCCGCACCCGCCCCCCCACCTCACCTCCGGAAAAAAAAAAAAAAAAAAAAAAAGATTAATTAATTGATTAATTGGTTGATTGATTGATGGATTGTTTGATTGATTGGTTGATTGATTGATTGATTTTTTGATTGATTGATTGATTGGTTGGTTGATTAAACTTGATTTTGATTGATTGATTGATTGATTGATTGTAAAAAAAAAAATGCAAAAAAAAGAAAAAAAAAGTCCATTCGAGAGAAAGATAGATAGCTTGATTGATTGATATGCAGTGGGGGGCTCGCCTCCCTCCCGTGAACACACACACACACACACGCACAAACACACACTCACACACACAAACGATTGCAGCCTTTTTTTTTTTGATTTTTTCTTTGTTTTTTTTTTTTTGATTGATTGATTATCAGAAGCCTTAGGGGGGGTCGCCTCCCCCCCGCGAACACACACACACACACACACACACACACACA